CCAATAGCTATTTTGGCTATTTTGTGGCAGCGGCGCACAACTTTCTAGACAAACTGCCTAACGCACCTGACAAACTTGCTTTAATGTATGTCAGACCTCAGCCAGCAGGAGAAGACCAAGAAGATGGAGATGCGGTGAGAGCAGCAGAGAAACCACAAGAAAAAGCGGCCTCTTTTCGACATTTGAGTGACATTATTTGTGTCAACAATAAAACACTCAAAAAACATGTCAGTCAGCGCGCGAAAGAGAGAGATAGAGAGAGAGAGAGAGAGAGGGAAATGAAAGATGAGAGAGAGATGGAGAAAGAGAGAGAGAGAGAGTGGAGTGAAGCAATTGTGAGCAATAGAAGCAAGACAAACGGAACCAGAAACTGAACCAGACGCGGACAGTACAATTTAAAACTCAATAAAACTTCAATCAGCGTTTTTAAATGTGTTTGTGTGTGTATTGATGTATGTGTGTGTGTGTGTGTGTGTGTGTGTCTGGCTCTACGTGTGTACACATTGGCACGCCCAGCAACGATGAAAGCGCCCAGCAATTTAAACAAATTGAAAGCAAGCGCAAATAAAAAACAGTTTGTTGCCACTTTTCACATCAATTACGCACTTCAACCAAAACAGACGACGACGACGACGGCGGCGACGGCGACGACGCTGGCAACGCCAACGAAGACGTAGAAAAACGAAGCAGCAGGCGCTGCCTTCATAAGGACGAGACGACGAGATGTCCTCGTTGGCGGCTGCTTCTAGCACAAAAATAACACTTGAAACTAAACGCGCATTCAGGCAACGACGTCGCTGGCGGCAGCGCTGTTGCTGGGCGTGCCACACCCCACACAAAGCCAAATACCCCCTCGCAGCCGCCCACTGCCCTTTCCCCTTCACCTTGCAAACAGTCAACGCAATAACCGCCCCCGCACCAGCCCCTCTTCACACACCGCTCTCTACAGCTACAACAATAATTTTCGCCTGCGTACACGGCGTTTTTTATGCGCCTACTGGCAGCCCCTGGTTTCTAGCTACCTAGCTATACCCCCTCCACGCCCCCCCCCCCCCCCTTCACCCAACCATCCGCAGGCAACGCACACAGCCCCAAACCTTAACAATTTGAATGCGTGTGCACTGGTGTTTGTGCCTGTCTGTGTGTGTGCGTGTGTTTGTCTATGTTTTCGTTTGCGAAAAGCGAAAGTAAATGTTTGAAAATCGTAAGGAAGGAAAAATCAAGTAAGCATCAACGCAGGCCAAAAAAAAAAGAAAGAAGAAAAAGCGAAAAAAAGGATATTTATCTTTGGCGAAGTTTATATGCCCTTGAAGGGCGAGTCTATTAAAATGATTGAGCTTTTATCGAATGCACCTTGGAAAATTTATGACTTGTTATTAACTAAAGATACGATTTTTGCATAAAAAGTATATATTTCATTTAGGCTTTAGGCGCTTCAAATATTTCATTACCGTTTAAACCTTTTGCCTATTAGCTTTCCCTCAGGGGCTGTAAGGATTATTAAATCTTCGAAGCAAACGGTTTGGTGTTAAATATTCTCCTTCCTTGAATTAACTTGATAAAGAATTAGGACAAAAAAAGTAAGAATATTTTGTACAGTTTATATGCATAAAAGATGGGACTCGAACTGTAAAAAATGTTATAGAAGATCTCAATATATTGTTGTCTTGTTTAATATGTAGAATTAAATAGGTGAAAAGGTTTTGTTTGGAATTTTCATTAGCAATGTTAATAAAGCTTGTTAGCTTCAAGCTTTTACTACTAATAATTATTTATTGAATGTATTATATTATTATTATATTAAAAAATAATATTAATAATATTTAGACGATAATAATACTTATTAGTTTTAAACTTTTATTACTTATAATTATTTTTATATTTTATTTATTGATTTGTTTTATTGATTTATTTATTTTGTAGCATATAATATTATACCAAAAGTTTTTTTTTAACTTTTTTACATATTATGTGTGGATAAGCTAGGAAAATTAATTTTCAAAAAAAATAAATATTAATTGTTATATAAAACAACATGAAACTATTATGGCTTGCGTATAATTCCCATCAATTCACATTAATATATAAAAATAAACAGAGAAATCAAAAAATAGGTCAAGAGGAGTTCAACTACTTTGTTTCATAGCCACTTCTGTTGACACATTTGCCAACTTCAAGTCAGATTCCGTATATCCTTTAGCAGAGTATTTCGAGGAGGCGAAAAAAACAGAAAAGAGAGAAGAAAAAATCCAACTTGGTTTTTATTGCGCGTGATAACAAGCAGGGAGTTGCACGGGAAACTGGGAATGGGAACTGGGACTCGATCTGGGTACTACTGGAACTGGATAGAGATGGGCACCGGGTTTACAGCTGGGCTGGCTCTGGACAGCGCTGTTTGATGTTATTATAGATGACGATGATGATGGCGATGACGACAGCGTGTGTAGTCAATGATGATTTTTGCCTTCTACTTCGGCTTTTGCTCTGAGTGAATCGGAGAGCTGCCAATCAGAGGCGACGCGGCAAATGTCTTCTTGTTCTATCGCATGTTTCTGGTTGTCACGATGGCTGGGCTTCAAGCACTAGCAGCAGCATGTGTATGTATGTATGTGTGTGTACCTGGGTGCGTGTGTGTCTGTTGCCTAGGCATTGCTATTGACAAAAATTGTAGGTAACCTAACTTGACGCTGTCTGCTTCAGCTCTTCAATCTCAACAAGTCTTAATCTAGCTACTGCCTCTCAAAATTCAACTTTGATGGAAATTGCAATTACAACTAAAGTTGAACAATTTGCAAACAAATATATTATAGTCAAATAAATAGAAATTAAATAAATGTTTGCTTAAGAAACTTTTGCAAAATAAAATAAAATAAATATTTATTACAAAAAAATGTTTGTTTCGTTAGAAAGTATATACATTTGTTCACATTTTAATTTTAATTTCACATTTAAAGATATAAATCTTTAAAAGCTTTTTTTACAAAATTTAAAAATTGGAAGAATATTAATATCACATCCTCGACTAATGAATATAATTATACACCTTTTCCCTTATTTGTCACAAGCATTGGTAACTTTAATAAAAATCAAAACAATTTTATTTCAAAAGTAAAAATATATTAAAAATCCTTATTGGGGTATATCAAACATTTCCCTTTTTAAATGCAATGCAAAATTATTATAGCTCAGCCCTAAATGGTTTTCCGTTTGCCCTTTTGACTCTGGTAGTCAAAAGTGAACAAAGGAGGAATCCACGGCTATGAAGGGCTAAAATATGCAACCTAACTGAAACCCTTTTTCGTATTATTTGATTAAAGATATTGCTTGAAAATTGGCTGCTAAAGGTATTAAAGCCTTTTCCCAGATAAGAGTCTAATAGAAACCGAAAAAAAGGTATACAGTTTTTTCTAAAGCGGAGGAGAGAAAAGCTAAAACGAAAAAGTCTGGATAACAGCCTTAAATTTCCCCTCTCCACAAGTTGTAAAAAATTGCCTAAATTCGGCTAAAATCCCAGTGCCAAGCTCAGAAATCTATTGTGTTGGCAGAACTTTAAAATAAAATACGAAAGTCCTACAATTAACTTTTATGCGCCTCAAATTTATTTAAATAAGCCAAAAATTCGTTGAATAAACATTAATTCAAATCGAGCTAAATTCTTATTACGCTGCGCAATGCTTAAGTAATTATAAGAAAAGCTCGAGTACATTTCCACACAGCTACGGCTGCTTTTGGCAGATATTTAAGTGAAGTTTTCTTTTTTTTTTTTATTTTATTTTTTACCTGCTGCTGTTTTGCTGCCTTTGTTTAGGCCACAACACGCCAAACAGGCTCAGATCAACGTTGGCATTGCTGTTGCCTCTGCTGCCGTTGCCGCTGCTGCTGCTGCTGCTGGCGCTGAACAATATGCAATAATAACAATTTACATATTCATGAGCCGCTTACGCACACAAACACACTGAAAGCACAGGCAAACACAGGCCGAGCAGCAGCAGCGACAACGGGGGGCAAAGTTTGCATAAAGAGCAGCCGCCGCTTAAAAGAAAAAACACAGCAACAACTCCCAATACGAGAGGCGGCAACTCCCCCCCCTTACTAGACCATCCCCCTTACAACCACCTTTATACACTACCCCAGCTCAGCCCTTTTGTTAAGCTCGAGCTGCGCGCTGCACGGTAACTGTAGCTGACCAAATATTTATAAATGTGCCCGACTTATTTATTTATTTTCATATATTTTTTTTATGATATTTATTTACGGGCTGGTCTTTTGTTTGGCCCTTGAAAATTATATATGCAGCGTATTTTATTTCGCATATTTTTTGATTTCGATTGGACAAGCAGAAGAAGCAGAAGAAGACGAAGCTACAAGTAATGTAAATTGCGACTGGGGCTGGGTTTATTTATAGTTGTCAACATGAGTTAGCAGGCACTGTCTGTCTCCCAGTGTGTGTGTGTTCCTTGGGGAGTTTCTGGGTCAGCGCCGTTGGCTATGAATTGCAAATGAAAGGCAATTCTCAAAATAGCCGTAGTTATGCCAAATTTTCGAGGCTAGGGCTGCCACAGCCGCGGCTGCTGCTAGTCGCTGCTGCTGCTGCTTCTGCTGCTTCTGCTGCTGCTGGTTGCTCTTAGCTTTTGCTCTTTGCCAATCTCGGCAGAACCTACCACAAAAATAAATCAAAACAAAAGCAGCAACGCCAGCAGCGGCAGCGGCAGCGACAGAGGCGTGTATTAGAGCAGCAACAAAAAATATGCAAAGAGCAGACGAAGATGTTGTCGCTGCCGCTGCTGCTGACGCTGCTGTTGTTGTTGTTGTTGCTGTCGCTTTGCAGCATCCACAGGCCGACGGCGTCGGCGCTGGCATCGATTTAGCTCGCGCTCGCGAGCTCGCGCTCTCTCACTCTCTATCACTCTCTGTTCCTCTGTCGCAGCAGCAGCAGCAGCAGCGACTGTGGACGCGCTGGACTCGTTGGTCTGCGACTCTGCTCAGTCAGTCAGGTGCAGACAGTTGACGTGTACGGTTTGTGTAACGGCAGCGTGCAACAGCAGCGTTACGAGAAAGCCAACAAACAGAACAATTTCTAAGTTGCCTGCTAAACGCACACAAAGAACAACAACATCAATAACAACAACTGCAACAACAGCAATGCAAGCAAATACAACAATAGTGTGCGCCAATGAAAATGTTAAAATGTGAAATACAAACAACAGCAGCTAACTAACAACTAACAAGCAGCAACAGCAACAACAACAACAACAACAACAACAAGAAGAGCACGTCAAGAGTCTCGCGCGCGTGTGAGTGTGCCAACGTGTGTGCGTGTGTGTGTGTGTGTGTGCGTGCGTGTGTCTGCGTGAGTGTGTGTGAGAGAGAGCGCTGCGTGTCACATATCAGCAAAAAGAAAGAAAGCAAATAAGTTCAGTGGAGTTCGCGCAGCGCAGCAGCAGGAAAATTCGTTCGACAGCAGCAGCATCAACGGCAGCAGAGACGCCGGCAGCGACGCCAACAGCAGGTAGGGCGCAGCATTAATTTTACAGCCAGAGCATAGACAAATGCCAGCAGCATACTCACCACACCCTGATCCTGCAGGAGACAGCGACAGCGACAGCAGCAGCGGCAACAACAACAGGCAGCAGCTGCGCAAAGAGCAGAACGCTCTCTTGTTTAATGCCAACTCGTTCTTATCCACTCTCTCTTTCTCTCTCGCTCTCTCAGCGTCTGCACGTGGAGTCTGTGCAAAGCAATTGGCATCCAAGTTGGGCCAAGTTTTTGGTTCAGTTGCCTTTTGTAATTTTTCGTAGCATACTTTTATGCTGCTGCTGCTGCTGCTGCTGGCTCAGCAATTTCTTAGCTGCTGTCGCCGTCTATTGTCCCTGTCCCTCTGCGTGTGCCTGTGTCTGTGTGTGTGCTAATTGTGTTGGCCAATTTTTGAGCGAAAATTGATACAATGTGTAAACAAAACTAAACAATTACGTGAATTGAAATTGAATTTGTTGAACAGCTGACCTTGCGGGGCTATTTGCGATAACGATAACAGCATGAAAAAGCCAAAGGCACAATCAGAGCAATGGGCGTCTGCTTGATGGGCAAAGCAAATAAAAATGTAGGATAGTGTGTCAGCAAGACACACGCACACACACACACACACACACACACACTGAGATTCGCATGCCATGTGCGGCATGTGTACGTGTAAATGACCGGAAACTGTGCTCAAGTGCCTAGGCCAGCCTCGGCCCCCCACAGCTAGTGGCCGTTATATCCCCGCTCCCCGCCTCATGCAGTTGAGGCTACTTGTCAGTTGTGCTCAGTTCTCTCTCCGATTTTATTTTTTTATTTTTTTGCTGTCTTGGGGCAGCACTTCAATTGTCAAATTGTTCTTGTTTATTGTTGCAATAGTTTTGTTGATGGACAGGTTTGAGCCTTGTGCCTGCTTCTTCTGGGTGCTTGTGTGTGTGCCTTTTCCTCCACTCTGCTCGCCTTTCACTTGTTTCTTAAAGTGATTTTCGCAGACGTAGCCGCTTTTATGGCGCTTGTCGTTGACGTTGACGTCGTCTCCGTTCGCACAACAAGCAAAACAAAACAATCAACACGGAAGTCTTTTTTCGTTGTTTGCTTGTTGTTATTCTCGTTCTTTCTTTCTTTCATTTTTTATTTTATTGTTGTTATTGCGCTCTCAGTGTGTGTGACTCACTCTCTATGCGTGCGTGTGTGTGTGTGTGTGTGTGTGTGTGTGTGTGTGTGTGTGTGCAAATCAACGTGGCCTAGTGCGCTGCTTGAGGTTGACGTGCGCGGGCTTTTGTGTGTATGTTGGTTTTTTTTTTTATTCCACCGTTGCGACTTTTATGCACAAGTTGATTGTGAAGTGTTTTAGCTTTAGCGAGTTGACATTTAAGTTTTTTATTCTTGTTCCTTTGCTCCAATCTGCCACGCCCCCGCCCCCGTCCCAGCTCCAGCTTCAGAGTTTCACAAGAAGTCCACAGCGAACAGACATGCCACTTGCGGGCCATATTTTATAGCTGACTTTGCAAGCGGCGCTTGCTTTAAAAATATTAAACACGTTCTAAACGAAATGGTTCTAAGCCATGGCCAAAAAATATTCTATTTAGATTTTGGTACATACATTGTTTAGTTTAAGCAGCTGGGATAGTCGGAAACTTTCAAAATTCAAATAATTAATAGCTATAGTTCTGGTGTTTAATTCGTTGCACACACATTTTACGAGCTTTGATAACATTTAAATTACAGACTGGTTCGGAAATTATTTAAAAGTGGGTTTAAAAACATACAGTAGAGTACTTAATACTTTAATAGACTACAGTATTTTGCACATGTTCTGGCTCAAATATTATACAAAACTGATTCAGTTTTGGGACATTCTAGTGTGCCTGAGACGCACATAGAGATAATTAATATAAACATCAGCATGAGTATAAAAATGATCAAGTACTCAAAAACAGAATTTGCATTCAGTATTCTGAGCTATCAAATATCTGAAGATTCCATATATTGTAAGCATTTTATTGTAATCCTTTACTCCTGGCATAAAGATAGCTCTTCTTGGATATTAAACCGTAATAAGCCCGAAGTAGTTTATTACATTTATACAAATTATGTATTTGAAATAAAGAAAAGAAACTCGAAATATTAAATCGTCCACAAAAATTTGATCAATCAATCAAGGTTTACATAAAACGAGAAAGAAGGGCTTTCTTCGGCGCGCTGAAGATTTAATAACCTTGCAGACCCAACTTTTTCATATTGCTTTGCCCGTATCTAGGAAGCACAGGGAAAATAGTTAATGCCGAGTATGGTTAAGATATCTTGAAAAACAAAAAGTTTTTCATACAACTTAATTTTCGACCGATCGTTTCTATGGCAGCATAGTAAAACTTATAAATGACGAGTTTAATCAAGATATCTTGATAAACAAAAAAGTTTTTCATACAAGAACCTACTTTTCGACAGATCATTCCTATGGCAGCTATATGATATAGTGGTCTGATCCATCCGGTTCCGACATATGTACTGCGTACAATAGAAAGAGAGATGAATGCAAAGATTCATGTCGATAGCTTTTAAACAGACAGACAAACATGGCTACATCAACTCGGCTTTTCCAGAATATATGTATATACTTTATGGGGTCGAGATGTCTCCTTCTAAGCGTTACACATTTCGAGACAAAATTATAATACCTTCTGCAAGGTTATAAAAAAGCTTTGCATTTTGTACACAAAATGAAAACAACTCTCAGCATTGAAGACTTTAGAATTTGATATATCAAATAAGTTATATATAAACTGCCGCTTACAGTAAAATTATCTCTTCGTTATCCACAAAGTATTGCAGCTAGGCGCAACTTGCCAAAAAATCCCTAATTTAATATAAATTTTATGAAACATACTGGTTTTTTTTAAAATTAATCATTAAAATGTAATACTTAATTTAAAAGTCGATTTGATTAATTTTAGAGCCAAATGAACTAGGCTTTAAATTAATATTTAATAATAAGGGTAATTGATAATTGATAACTGAGCGGACGTTTTTTCAAGAAACACAAGCCACCGAAAGCACTTCAACGTAACTGTGGCAGTTCGTAAAACTGGCAGCTTTTGATTCAATTTTAAATGAGCACATAAATATATTGCTCATACGCCACGTAGCGTGGCTTTTGAATTCAATTTTAAATGCAAGAGAAATCGACAAATGGCATCAATTGCAAACGGCAGGATAAAAGCCAAATGAGAGTGGAGCCACTGAACTTTGTCTCGGGTGAAAAATAAGGGAAAACAACAAGTGAACTGAATTGGGTGGCAACAATCAACAATTTTGTAAAAACTCTCCGCTATTAATGTTGAGATACTTGAGCCAGCTGCAGATACAGATACAAAGATACGGATACTTGGCGCTGCTTGCAGACAAAGGCAAAAGGCAATTATAGAAATATACAGACGAGCAGCAACAAATAATAAAACCAAGTTGCCATAGACAATCACAACAGCAACATCAGCGACAACAACAACAAGAACAACAACAGCAGCAGCAAGAGCAATATCAACAAATGTTGTTGGCGTCGCCACCAACGACAAGTAGCTGCAAAAGTTCTGCAACGTTATTCGCATATTAAACATACTTCAAGTTGCCAGCGCCAGCGCCGACGGAGACAGCGACAGCGACAGAAGCAGCGGCAGAGGCAGCGACAGAGGCAGCAGCCTCATTATTTATTTGATTGCCCGCACAGCCAATGCTCAAATTACCCCCTGGGAGCGGAGCGTGCCACAGGCGGAGTACGAAAAAAAAAAACACAGAAAAAGAAATAATAGTCGCAGTCGGCAATGGGCATAAATGTAATTAATAAGGCAAATTAATGCAAACAATAATACAAATTCATTTTCATGCACAAATGAAACTAAATTACAACAACGTGCGCCTCCAACAACGAACAGATACATTCCCCCAGTAAAACCGCTGACCGCATCACATATAGACTTACGCATTATGAGGATTTTGAATTAGTTTCACTTCTGTTCAAGTAAATCATTGATGAATAAAACCCAATTCTAGTTAAATAAAATACTAATCAAAAAAACAAACCTTTCAATTATTAATGTGCGAATTTTGTATAAATATCTTTTGAGCCTCAGGCGAGTGCAGTGGTCGGTTTAAAGTCCGGGCCGTCGTCTAAAATAGACAATATTAATAAATATATGTAAGAATTATAGTTGGCAGGTTCTTTTTAATGAATTTAAAAGTAATAATCATAATATTAACAATAATACTAATAAAATGTACTAATAATTATAATAAAAATAATAATATATAAAATAATAAAAAAAAATTAATGATAATCATAATAATAATAATAACAACAATAATATTCATAATAATACAAAATACGTCTGCCAGTCCCGCCTCAATGAACACCAAAACAACCACCTAATATTAAATTAATTAAATTCTATATACACTTTTTATAGAGGGGCATAAAAAACGATCAAAATACTTAATGTAGCTTGCTTGTAGCCAAATCCCATAGAAGAATTGAGTCTTAAACTAACATTAGGACGTGATTCGTAACTCGTATACATGCAACTTTATTTAGTTTGTCTTATTAAACTATCCTACTTTTATGCAATTTTTATATAGTTGTAGGAAATGGCTTTTAAAATACTTAAGCCACGTTTACCAGCCAAAAAAAAATACGAAATCTATCTAAGCCCAGTTCGATTATTATAAACGGTTTCTGAACCATTTTAAACCAAATGTGACTGTGTAACTGTGTCTATAGAAGTCTAGACAAAATGTGACCATAAACTGCTTCTATAGTATTTTTGACAAAGTGTGAGCTTAACCTTTTTGTATAGAATTTTAAATAAAGTGTGACCATAAACTGTTCCTATGGCCATATGTTGCTTTGTTTAAATACTGAAAGACCAAACCCGAAACTTTTTACTTATATTAGATTACACTCAGGTAAAATAGATATTTAAGGTAAAAATATGCAGCTTC